ATTATTACTATCATAAATAATTTGCAGGTCATCATTTCTGCTCAAATGATCATATCATCACTATTCTCCTATTCTATCATGATTTGTAACAACATAAACTTCATTTAGTTGTATTTATTTAAACACTGTGCTTAGTCAACTGAAATAATTCAACTTGTAAGTTTATCATCTAAGGCGTACATATATTTGTAAAAGATTTCATAAAATGTAATCCAAATAGAAACATAATGCTTTTATCATTACTATATTCTGCTTGATAATGCTTTTCAATCATTTTTAATATTAAAATACACTTGGATTTTTTCAAGTCCTATATATATATATATATATATATATATATATATATATATAAAGGGGAGAAATACTTCTGTTCCGCATGGTGAAAATATGAATATTAGTAATAATAAGAATAGCTATACAAATGGGTTTTTCCATTATCAATTATATTGAATTGCAGTTTATTTTGAACAGAAATAAGAACAAATATAAATCAATAGTAAAAAAACATTTTTACAAATTTATGATAGTAATTAGCAATGAAATGATAAAGTATACATTTAGTCCTACTTATATCCATCTTTTATTTTTCTACAGAAAATTTTGTTTAGTTATTCCTGCTGACTGAATAACATCGACGAATTTATAAGTTGATCAATAACTCAAGCCATTCAATATCGTACTAAGAATTTCGGATGTTAGATGGCTATATGTATTATTTGCTGATTATAAATGTAATCTGACAATCCTATGCAAAAGACCTTTACTTACTGAGCATGTATAGCAGAGACTAACTTAAATAATTAGCTTCGTGGATAGAGTTGTATGGTTTGAAAGAATGGATAAGGTAGCAATTATAATAGGAAACTGAAAGTTTCAAACTGTGAAAGATATAGCTGTTAGATGAAATGATTTTTTCAAGGATTTCTCAACTAAATTAGACTATAACGTAAGATGACTTCAGGAATAGCAAACTTAGAAAGCTCCATTAAATGACTAGATCTGAAGCATTTACATACTCATCGCCACATCTTATGTTGTATTAGAGTGATCTGTGTAGGTCATAGATGTCATTTTCTGTGACTAACACTTTCTGTTCATTATGTGTAATAGTTTTAAAACCAAGACCGTATTTATAATTATTTTGGGCGACTTGTCAACCGCATACAAGCTCGCTGACAACCCAGTTTTCTAATATGTTCAACCGACTAATATTCGGCAAAAAAGATTTTCAAATATATATATATATATATATATATATATATATATATATATATATATATATATATAATACTACCACATTATTGAACTAAATATCATTAGTGTACTGAGGGAATAGTTTGCTGATTTCTTATAAACTACACTTTTTTAGAGCAAGCAATAGTTTTTTTAGATGAAATGGTATGTCATGTAATAAAGCTTCTATGTAGATGATATGCTGAACATTTTAAACAGGGATTCAGTGAGACTAAATACTTTCTTTTTTATGCTAATGTGATAGCCATTTAAATTTGGTGTAGTTTTGAAGTTGTTTATGAGTTAAATTTCTTCGACATTTGTAATTAAATTTTACGTCAAATATATTAACACTGAATGATAAATCTACCGGGTAATATTAAATTATGTAGACAAACAAAGGAATGGACAGATATGTAGACTTTAACACTTCCATAAATTATAAATAGATCTATTCCAACCAAATAAAAGAACTAAAGGAAGAAAAAGGTCCCTCCTAAATCAAACAATAAATTTTTTTGGTCGCCGTGAACAGTAGATAGCGAATAGATTATCTCATTGTAATAAAATCTTTATCAACAAAACATTCACATAAGTATTTATCAGTATTATCAGATTGATGGACTTTATGATAGATATTTATAAAAGATAACTGTAGAAAGATCTATAAATCAAAAACTCAAAACAAGCAGACGAATTGTTGTTTTTCCTTATTTAAACCTTGTAAACCGTAGAAAATTTTCGTCTTTACTAAGAAAAGTACATGGTTTTGGAAAATAAGTAATTTGTCATTAAAGTATACAACCTTAAACAGATGGTTACGATACTCTAACCCAACTGATCATTATATCATTTACAAAGTCTTGGGCTACCTATTATTGCACTCAAACTTGTCCTATGAACACTCTGTCCGCTCCTTTTGTGGAGCTAATTAGTATGAACAACTAAATTGTCAAAGATAATTTGTCTTATGTTCGGGGGTAGCCTAAATAAAGTTGATTCACTGGTCTAATCTATCTAATCTAATCATAATAAACTATATTTGGAATACATCTACTTGTGATCATTATTTTTACTGTCAATGAAAATGAAATACTCAAATTTGAATAGATATGATCAATCGTTCAATGATCTTAAACATAAACAAACATATTTTTTACTACAAGTACACAATTCTATTCAGTGATTTCATATGATAAAAGTAAACATAGTTAGCAAAAGTACGTCTTGTCCTTTTTTCTTTTTGATCAGCCAATGAGTTTTGATTTATTTGTAATTAATAAAAAAGAATTGAATGGAAATCAATATTATCGATTACTTTTACTCCACAATGTTTAAAATAAATCCGACAGAAATCGACTATGATACCAATGGAATGAGAAAGGTGTACAAGCCTTATTAGTATTCCTACAAAAGATGAAGCTTCACACCTAGTGCATAGGCTTGTACTTCACAAATAAGCTGTATCATTATTGTAAAGTCGTATTCACTTATTTTTGCATTTTACTCCTAGTGTAGAATAGGTCGCCCACCAGCGTTTTCCAACCTACACTGTCCTGTGCCTACCTTTCTAGTGTTATCAAATTATTTTCCATTCTTCTCATATCTGCTTCCACGTCTTGGTGTAATGTGTTTCTGGACCTTCCTCTTTTCCTTTGATCTTGAGGATTCCAAGCAAAGAACCGTTTTGTGATGCGGTTCAGTGCTTTCCACAGCATGTCCTATCTACTTCTACCGCTTCTTCCTGATCTCCTACTCCGCCGGATTTGGTTTGTTCTTTCCGACAGTACATTAATCCTGATAGTGTCTGATCAACGGATTCGAAATATTTTGTCTAGAAAACTGCTAATAAACACTTGTATCATCTGCATGATGGCTTTCGTACTTCTACAAGTTTCCGCCCCATTCAGTAGAACTGTCTTGACATTTGTATTGAAAATTGCGACTTTGGTGTTAATTGAATGTCAAGGTCTCAACATCTTCGAAGGCATCTCCATCAAAAGTTATTTGGTTGTCGCATGTTGTGTTGTATCAAAGAATCTTGCTTTTCTCTTTATGTATGTTAAGACCTGTTACTGCTGAGGCGGCTGCTACAATGGTCGTCTTCATTTGCATTTGTTGTTGCATTAGGATGGAAAATCCAGGTCATCTGCGAAGTCCAGATCGTCCAGCTGCATCCTAGCCATCCATTGTATCCCGTGCCTCCACTCAGATGCTGACGTCTTCTTATTGCAGACGACCACCAGGAGAAAGAGAAAGGGTGAGAGTAATCATCCTTGCCTGACACAAGTCTTCATCTCGAACGAGTTTGTGATCTGTCGTCCATGCACGATTATGCAGTTTAATGCATCAAAAGAATTCCGTTTGATGTTGAACATCTTCTCAAGCACTCCGTAGTGTCGAAGAAACCTCCATAGTGTTGTCCTCTCCACACTATAAAATGCTTTCTCGTGGTCAACGAAGTTGATGTAGGGTGGTGAATTCTATCCAATTGATTGTTCCACAATGATCAGTAGTGTCGCTTGCGATTCGGTTGGTACACGACCGATCCTTACGGAATCCTACTCGTCGGTCTGGAAATTGAGCGTCTATTTTAAACTTGTACTATTATAAAAACATTAGGAATTTTATATATCGTAGTGATTTTGTAGTCTCAATACTCTTTTCCTTGTCTACCAAATAATTTCAGTGAAAACGTAGAAAAATCATTTAAATTAGTGCACATTAAGACTTCATCAGTAGTGACAACCTATCAAAGTTCAATAAACATATCGTCCGTTTAGCAAGGCACATATTAATGCAAAATAATATCTGTAAGATTTTAATATCTGTTTCGAAGATAAAAAGAATTTAGTCACTGAAAAATGTACTCGTCCCCAGGATATAAACAGTTGAAATAAATTTAATTTGTATCCTATGCATTTAATAAAAAAAATTTAAATATAAATATCAATTCTTTGTAATTTAAGATTTAATATTTAACAGGCTGACTAGAATTTAGTACAATATACGAGGTTCAGGGACACTCACTGTTATAGTTAATAATGTTATAACTAAGTTATTCATAACAAATATGACTAATCGTGAGTGATGCCTGTAGCAGTAGTACAGCTAATACCGACCATTTCCAAGGTTGCTTGTACAATTTACTGTAGAATGTTAATTAAGGCATAAGTTGATTGCAGGAATCATTTCTGAGTGTTTTCAAACAATCACAATTGAACAAAATGATGCGCCATCTAGAGAACCATTTATCATAGTGTCAGCATTACAGTTTGATCGACAGACGTTTATTAGCATCGAAAATTCGACAATATGAGAGTGATAACTACTCATTTGTCGTAAAACAGTTATAATTACAATTAAGACTAATAACTCGTTCAGTTTTAAATTAATCCCATACTTAATACCGAATTCTATGACAGTTTCCTGTTACCTTAATCTCATTGAATATCCCAATTCTTCAAAAGTTATCCATTATTTGCATCAAATGTTTCTCCCTGTTATTATAACCGAAATAAATCTAGGTGTACTGTGGATTAACTTAACAAGGTTTGTAAGAAAACACACCTAAAAAACATTCTACCCGTATACCTAACAAATAACAGCTGTTAGTCAGATAAACGTGTGTTAAGATTCTACGAATATTTGAAATATGTGGGATATGAACTGAAGTTCTGTAGTGATTTAGCATTCAAAACTTATATATTCGAAAATCATTACTTAAATCTCTATTGTAAATTGAATATTTAATTAACGTGACTTACCCATGGTTTTCATTATTTTTATTTAATCCACAGTATTTGAAATTTGTATCAACTTGCGGATCATTCAGTAATAAAAACACATTGTAGATATTTGCACAGATAGTGGAAAAATTTATTCTTTTCCCCCCACTCCCAGAAAGAGATTTTGTCACGTTCTCTTTTTGACCTGATAGGCAAATATTAATGTAACAGGGTGAGAAAAATTGGGCTCCGCATTGTGATTGGTAGAGCTCAAGGCCATGTTTGATTTGGCCTTGATGGTTTGATTCGACTAGTTTACAATAATTGGGGACAGAACTTCGTCCGATCAAATAAGTCTATAACCCGTATTATAGTTTTTATATCTCCATTATTGACAAAAAGAAATTTTTATTTAGAATAATAATAAATATATTCCCACGGTTAAGAAATTTACATTACTATTCGATGTCATATGAACACTTGATATTATTGAAATTTTATTTTCAGTGAAAAAAAATTGACTGCCCTGTTGACAGTGGGTGGACGAAATTTGAAAATAATAGTTGGAAGAGTGGTCTGTTTTAGGTAACCTAGTGGAAAATAAGGAAGTAGAAGCATAAATCATACTGATCGATTGATTTTTTAAGAAATTTTATTACGATTAGTCATTTGAACAGATTCAGCCTCATTAGAATATTTTTTAACAAAACCCCTCAAGGGAGTTTGAATATATAGGGCGAGTGTGATGTTTTATACTTATTTACTACTGATAAATTGATAGTGTGTCATTTGTTTTATATTTATGTAACGACATTAAAAATGTTAATAATTCTCTTTCTTATTTATCAGCTACACCTTTTATGCATTGATTTTTTCAAAGGCCAATGGTTAATTTATTAGAATCAGCTCCTATGGCAATCAAGTTCCCAGTAAAAATCACCGAACTTCGTTCGACATGTGTATATCAACACATATTGTTTGAGTGATTATTTGTTCTATTTCAGTAGTAAAAATTTTTTAATCATATTATCATTATCAGAAGACTTGATTTCATTGTATGTTTAGTTTGATTAATTGGGATTATTTAACACTAATATATGTGAACTTAAATGTAAATTATTTTCACTTTTATTCTAGTTCATTAATAGATTATTAAATCATTGAAATTCATTTGGGAATTCATATCAGAATTATGTATCAATAATTAAAGTCTATTGTATAAAAAACAAATCAGTATATTTTCAATTCGAGTTATGGAGATTAGTACTGTTATACATTTGAAATCATCCGTCAATCGTTGTTAGACCACTATCAGAAACCTGGAAGTACTGGATAGCCGTTTCGTCCTGGTATGGGACTCATCAGCCGTGCGCACCCAAGACTCCTCCACCTCGCAGGCTTCTAACCCGGGACCTTGAGCGCGAACGCCTAACCATTAGACCACTGGGCCGGCATCCAGCAGTGTTAATGTCTAATTCTGATCAATCTAGAGATGCTGCGCGACTTCACCCATTTGTCTTTGGTAGTTACTGCCCACATCCGACAGGGATGAACTCCACTGGTCATATGTTCTCACTCTCTCTCACTATTCTCTCCGAGAATTTTCTTACGAAACTGGTCACTAGTGAGCACATTTTACGATATTTTCAATTAGAGTTATGGAGATTAGTGTTTTTACAATGATTAATTGATGGTTTCAAATGTCTACACATTTGGAATTAGTATAATTTTGAAAAAAACATTCATCAGTTTCAGTGCATAAATCTTTAAATAATAATTTACTTTATAAAAAGTGACTTGTAATTTATTTTAATTATTAAATTAATATCAAAAATTAAAACGTAAATAATGAAATATAATTAATAAAACAATAGATTCATTAAAATAAAGGATGAACTTGAAACAAACAGAAAAAGAATTTCATTTAACACCTCATGAACTATATACCATCTGCTAAGTCAATGTTTAGTATGAGCCAGTCAAACAAACAATATCATATTAAATGTACCATGAAACTGATGATTTTTATGAATCGTAAAGATGATAGTTGAATTGAAATTGAAATCTAAAGTATGCAGTGTTATATATAGGGGATGTGCATATTAATGTTTCAATACTCTAGTAACATAATTGCTAATTTAAACTTAATTCTTCTTCAGATCTCTAATTGAAATATGAATAAAAAGAGATAAATACGTGAGTTTTGAAATCTGCTTCCAAGTTTGACAATATTTGTTCATATATGAGAATATTATAATACAGTCAATGGTATATTTGACGTAACAATACGAAAGACAGACAACAATAGATAAAGCATAGATAAACATAGCAAATATCGAATTTATCTTAATAAAAAAAATTAGTCATCTATTTTTTTTCAGTATATTCCCCTAGGTTCTCAATCAACGACGATACAGAGGTTGTATAAATGTGAATGTATTAAAATTGATTTCGATTTCCAACTTTTTGTCAATATTTGTTACTCATTTTTGTCATTAATACATTCGTTTCATAGTTGTTAAGTATAGTTAACTTATAAACAATATTGATTACATTGGTTATTGAACTTATGCGCAGACAGTATATACATTGAAAAACGATGATAACACTACATCTGATTGACTAATATTCGAATTGCTAAAGAAACACCTAAGGAAACCATTCAAATCTCTTACGAGAAATAGAACAAATTAAAACAAAACAGGAACTCGATAACGTGAAAAACCAAAGCAATTAATTTAATAAAAGATTTAAAAACCGCATTATTGGCCAGTTTAGTAGTTAAAAGCGAAACTATGTTAATTTATTTGAACAAATAACCATTGTATTCTTTCGACTACTTCAGTAAATATTTGTTTTTGGTACATCTTGATAATTATAAAGTGTTTACGAACATGTCCCGAAACTGATTTCGTATTTACGGTATTTCAGCAGTGATAATGAGTAGAAAATGTATCCCCTTTTTAATATTCTATGGAGTAATCTTCCATATGAATAAAAGTTAGTATTTTCATAGTGAGTTAAAATTTTGACTCAAATTTTCTTCAGAATGCTTTCTTCTTATTTATGATTCATTTTCAATTAGTCTCTTGTGTTGCATCATATGACCAGTCTATGGAATGTATATATATATATATAACATACCAAAAGCTTTTAATTAAATTCAAATGAGATGTATGAAAAGCCATAAATAATGTGAACAATATTTCTAGGTGATTCGACTATGCTTTTATAACTGCCACAAATATAGATTGCAGTTATACGTTGAGCTAATTGGCACGGTAGTAAACAAACACTTACTGATTTTACTCCAAACTACTAAAAATATTTAAGTAATGAAATTTTCATTGAATTCTCATCAGCTGGATACGTTTGGTAGTGATAAAAAAAAAAAGCAAAAGTAGATTTGTAAACTTCACAATGGCATTAGATATAAAGTATATGTAAAAATAATTCCGACAAAACTAAAGTTTTATCTAATCCAATGTGTTATACACAAGGATTTGTTAAACATACGATGTAAAAATCTAGTTAGTGGGAATAGTATGTAATTGATATGACTCATTATTTTACTCAAAGTATTTTCTCATCAATAATTTTAGATTTATGAAACTATGAGCAAATGAACTCTTCTCTGAAAATTAAATCTTATAATACTTATTGATCATTTTTATGAACAAGGCAATAAACCATGAATAGTCAATTTGACTAACAATATTAAGCTTATGTTAACGGGATTGTTATCACTTAAAGATTTGAACTCAGTTATCTAGAGTATTACCAGTAAAAAAAGAACATTGTTCACAGTCTACAAAATCCTAACTTTTTAATTAGCACAGATAATTTAAGATGAATAAAGTTAAACGCCATAATAAATTATCCTGACATTAACTGTTTATCACAACGGTTAAGAGATCATTGAGATAACATACTTATTATAGATGATGATAATGAGTTAACTAGTACTGGCAGTAATACATTTTGATGGGAAACACTATAGAATAAATGTGCTCTCCACTTTAGTGTTCAAATAACTGATACAAAATTTCTGTACGTGTTGGTCAGGGATTTATGAACTACACTTTTGGCCCGTATACAGTGCATTACAAATTAACTCTACCTAACTTATTTACATCGACTATACGATGAATTTATTAAAATTCATAATTATCACGTAACATGCATGGGACTTGTATTTACAACTTATCAGTAATTTTTAGCTAATATTGAAGCAAAACTTCATATTACTTGATTTTACGTTATCCAAATAAACATCTTTTCCTTACTTATTGATTATATCGTTAACTGGTTCAGTCTAACCAATCAGAATGAAATAAACGCATAAGTATTTATCTCCCATCTGTTTGTTTAATCTGATCCTAATATCTAAATGTATTCGTTTAGGAAACAAAATCTCCTGTCTGAAATTTAACTAATGTGCAGCATCCTGTTCGTTTGCTTTTTTTTAAACTTATTTTAAACATATCCACAGTGAGAATAAAATTCTCTTAGAAAAGACTCACTAACACATACTAAAAACAACGACAGTAATAAAATACGTAGGTGAAAAACGTAATAAAAGACAAAGATTTAAATTTCAACAAATGAGATGAAAATTAAGGAACAGGTTTTAAATGAAATGTTAATTATTAGTTGATATAAATTAAACTATACAAAGTAGTTGAGGAATAAAACAGATTTTATCTTAAAAAATGTCACTTTCAGTAACAGCACTTCTCTATGACCTTGTATATAAGTTAGGAATGTTTTAATCTATATGACAAATGTTACAATTAGATGTAATTTTTGATTTTCATTTGTTATTATTTTTCTCAAATTATTTTTTTGTCTAATACTCAGTGCAGTTTTTAGTTTGAAGTGAAAATTTTCTTTGAATATTACTTAGTTTTAACTCTTCTTCAACTTAGAAATAACTTCACAGACTTAAACATCTGATCATTGGTTATATCGATTTACAATCTATTCAGTTAAAAAGGTCTTGACAGTTTAATGAGTAAATTATTGATCTAATCACACCTTTGGAATTGATGAGAGGATAGGACATAAAACTACCGGGAATTATGACGATTCTTTTTTTAAAAAAAACAAATGATCAATACGAAATCAGAAAACAATAAGTTATTACAATTAAAAAAAATTGTCATAGTTACATTATTTTGAGGTTTTATTAAACTGTGAATGTTTGTTTAAATTGAA